CTCAATTTGAAATTTTGGCTAGTACATGCACAGGGAAGATCCCTACAAAATTTCAGTCCCTTAGCTCGTGTGGTTCCCGAGATCGCTTTCCCACCAAAAAATTTGCATATTTTCTTAAAGCGTCCGTACGCGGCACCCAGGCGTCCGCGAGGAATGATATTAAAACGGAAGGGTCGCGCACGTTATGGGCACATACTTCCGAAGTTTCAGCTTTTTGGCTTGTCTGGTTCTCGAGTTGAAAATGGGTGATAAAAAGTAAGAACACACAGACACACACACCCTCTTCCCAATATGCGTTTTTGCAATCTGCATATAGGCAACCCAGGCTGGAACGCACCAGGCGGGCCGGTGCGTTTCGTGCCGTAATCGCAAGGAATTAAAGTAGCTAACCCTGTGAAATACTGGCCCTCGAAGTTCAGGAAGTTAATTGTGCAACTGTGTGATGTGTCAGTTGTAGGTGTCGACTTCAGTGACTTGTTCACATAAAAGGCCACACTAGAAGAGTTAAATTTAAAATCTTTCAGTTGCACATGAGCAGGAAACATTCCCTTAAAATTAAAGCCTTCAGCTTTTCCCGTTCCTGAGTTAGCAGTTTTCCCATCAAAATTCCACGTGTCCATACATGGAGCTGAATTTAAAATCTTTCGGTCATGCATGAGTAGGGAACATTTCCTTTCGTACATGAGTGCAGGGCAGTTTTAAGGAGTTGAATTTAAAATATTTTGGCCATACATGAGTAGGGAACATTACCCTAAGTTTCAGCTTTCTAGCTTTTCCCGTTCCCGGGTTAGTAATTTTCGCGCCGAAATTTCCACGCGCTCGTATGTGGGCACGGGCGCTTCCAAACACCTGATCTTGGTCGTACATGAGTAGGAAACATCCCCCGAAAGTTTCAGCTTTCTAGCTTCTTCCGTTCTCGGGTTAGTAACTTTCTCGCCAAAATTCCACGCGTTCGTGCATGGGCTTGGGCATTTCTAAACACCTGACTTTGCTCGTACATGAGTAGAAAACATCCCCCGAAAGTTTCAGATTTCTAGCTTTTCCCGTTCCCGGGTTAGTAGTTTTCGCGCCAAA